TAGGTTCTATGGCTCCTCTGAAGGGGGTTCTTTGCTCCTTCAGGGATTCCGAAGGTCAGTAACACTGTTTTATGTCTAATTTCCTTATACATGTGTCAACACCACTTCTCTTCTGCTTATTAACCTGGACCAAGGTTGCTTTTTGGCTCAGACATGAAATAAAAGCTAATTCCTTCCACCTTGAAGGCAACAAAATGTCATCACCACACTGATTTCGTACCTCATCAACCTGGGTTCTCTGTCTGGTCATTTTCCCTATGGTTTCTTTCCCAAGTGCTGACTTTTCTGCAGCCCTCAGGGTCATTCCACAGCCTATCTAGCTGGCCTGGGTGGCAGAGTCCAGGGCTTAACAAGCTCGACCTCTGGGTTCCGTTTGCAAATGAGGATCTAGGTCTGGGCCCAGTGCCTTGAGCACCAGCTGGATGAGCAAACAGCAGCCTGAGTGCCCTGTTGGGATGGGGGTCCAACAGGACTCCCTCCCCAAGTCAGAGAGTGGTCTGGGGCACCTTGAGCTCACAGACATATCACATGATCCATGGCCACAGAGGGGGAAGGGAGGGTCCTCATCACTGTGACCCCAATCACAAGGAGTGGGCACAATACAGATATGTGTCCGTATGGGCCCTTGTGTGAATTCCAGCCCACTGAGCCTAGCTGACCTCAGAGGGGATGGAAAGGGCGAGGGCAGGATCCAGAGGGCTGATCCCCACCCCCCAGGCAGAGGAGAGGGGGCACAGCAGCATCTGCAGGGAGAGCAGGGCAGGGGCAAAGCAGATGCGCACACTCATTGGGCACTTTCTGGTCCCAAAAGGCAATTCCATTAATTAGCTCAATTAAAAAAGCTTTCTGTTCAAAGTATTTACACACTCAAGACTCCCCAAGAAACTGGGAAGACGTTACCTAACTTGCTACCAGGGAACAGAGGAAAGAGGTTGGAACTCCAGCTTTTCATTCAAGCTCTGCCAAAACTCACTGGGACCTTAGGCCTCTCCAACATAACCCGATGAGCTGGATCTCCATGACTCTAAAGACATTTTGGCTTCGGAGGTGAAATCGGGCCTGGTGAAGAAGCTTTAAAGTCGGGTTTACCTTTATTCCATGTGCGTGTGGTATATCTTCTTCTCTTTGTGTACGATCTACTTGCCGGTTCAACACTGCAAATACCTTTGGCCAAAGGCACTGGGCTGTCAAGTCTTTTTATCTCGCCCCCATGATCCCTGCTATTATTAGATCTGTGGCACCTGAATTACTTTCTTTCTTGACCACTTTAGTGAGATATAATTCACATACTATACAATCCACCCACTTAAAGTGTGCAATTCAGTGGTTTCTGGTATAATCACAAAGCTGTGTAACACTCAGCAGATTCTATTTTAGAACATTTCATCACTCTGCGAAGAAATCCTTTACCCACAGCCGTCTCTCCCCATTTCCTCCCAACTCCTCCACCTCCAGCATCCACTCATCTGCTGTCTCTATACATTGCCCATTCTGGACATTGCATATAAATTGAGTCATACAATATGTGGTCTTTTGTGTCTGGCTTCTATCACAATATTTTCAATCACTTTATTTTCTTTTAAGTTAACAAAATTAGCTTTATAAATTACAAAGTCAATTCTCAAATGCCTGTATTCCTGGCAATCAAAAACAGCAGTTCAAACTGAAGTGCACTAAAAATCTTAAAACCTGGCTTGGACTTTGTTTTAATGTATTTTATTTTGTTTTGTTTTATTTTTAGAGTCAGGATCCTGCTCTGTCATCCAGATTGGAGTGCAGTGGTGTAATCAGAGCTCACTGTAGCCTCAAACTCCTAGGCTCAAGCGATCCTCTTTCCTCGGCATCCCAAGTAGCAGAGACTGTAGGGACATGCCACCACACCCAACTAAATTAAAAAATTTTTTCGTAGACACAAGGTCTCACTATGTTGCCCAGGCTGGTCTTAAACTCCTGGCCTCAGCCAGGTGCAGTGGCTCACGCCTGTAATCCCAGCACTTTGGGAGGCCGAGGCAGGTGAATCACGAAGTCAGGAGTTCAAGACCAGCCTGGCCAACATGGTGAAACCCCGTCTCTATTTAAAAAATCAAAAATTAGCCAGGCGTGGTGGCGGGCGCCTGTAATCCCAGCTACTTGGGAGGCTGAGGCAGGAGAATCTCCTGAACCCAGGAAGCGGAAGTTGCAGTGAGTCGACACTGTGCCATTGCACTCTAGCCTGGGTGACAAGAACAAGACTCCATCTCAAAAAAAAAAAAAACAAAAAACTCCTGGCCTCAAGCAATCCTCTTGCATTGGCCTCCCAAAGCGCTGGGATTATAGGCGTGAGCCACTGCTCCCAGCCTAGACTTTCTTTTACAAAGACTGTTGTTGGCCAGGCGCAGTGGCTCATGCTGTAATCCCAACACTTTGAGAGGTTGGGGTGGGCAGATCACTTAAGCCCAGGAGTTAATGACCAGCCTGGGCAAGATGGCAAAACCCATCTCTACAAATAATACAAAAAATTAGCCAGATGTGGTGGTGCACAACTGTGGTGCCAGCTACTTGGGAGGCTCAGGTGGGAGGATTCCTTGAGCCTGAGAGGATGAGGCTGCAATAAGCTATGATTGTACCACTGCACTCCAGCCTGGGTGACAGAATGCCTCAAAAAAAAACAACAAAAAAAAAGTCATCATGAATAAGAAGAAAAAGATATGCCAAGTTTCCTGACTGGAGAGCTAACCCCTGGGCAGACGTCCAGTTAAGCCACAGTTAAGCCTCAGGAAGGTGACCTACTGGGTTGGGCTCTAATGCTGAGACTACAGTTGGTAGTCATAGCAACCAAGTTACAGGCTTTATTATACCCGGGTTTGACTTACGTATTATTTCGAGCCAGCCATCACTAAGATCAGTGTAATCGGAGTTGCCTCTCATTGCAACGTGAGTCGCTTGTATTAATGAATCAAGTCTTTCAACAGCATTCTCCCTGCAAAAGAGTAAGGTAAGGCATTCTTAGCTCATGGCCAGCAGGTCTTGTCCTAAAGTCCTTTCCAGTGAATGTCCGGGTTTCACTTCCGAGTGCCTAAATAAAAAACTGCCAGAGGAACTGGCATTAAAAACTGGCTGGATGTCACCCATGGACTAGGTGTGTTTGATGGCCTTCCCAGGATGGACCTACACAGCTGGGGGAGGATATACAGAAGCAATCTTCTACTTTAGACTTAAAATGTTAGTAACTTAGCTGAGTGCAGTGGCTCACACCTGTAATCCCAACCTGTTGGGAGGCTGAGGTGGGAGGATTGCTGGAGCTCAGGAGTTCAAGACTAGCCTGGGCAACAGGGTGAAACCCTGCCTCTACAAAAAATACAAAAATTAGCCAGGCATGGTGGCGTGCACCTATAGTTCCAACTACTCGGGAGGCTGAAGTGGCAGAAGCACATAAGCCTTCTGGGGTAAAGGCTACAGTGAGCTGAGATTGTACCACTGCACTCCAGCCTAGGTGACAGAGCAAGACCTTGTCTCAAAAAAAAAAAAAAATGTTAGCAACTTAAGTTAGGAATCACGTGGTTCACAGACTGCCGACTGTCACCAAACTTAGGAGGTAGTTAGAGCACACATCAAGTTACCAGGATAAATTTGTAGGCCAGAGTGATCCAACACTAAAAGTAACCTAAATATCTAGCTGGAATTTTGAGTCATAAAATTAAATGAAGACTAAGAGTTGGAACATAGCATCCCTCCTTCCCAGTACTGTCACTGGAGGGTACAAATCTCATGAACTGCAGGAGAGGGACTCTGCCCATGGACTCAGGCCTCACAACCCATAATCAGGAGCTGCTGCTAATAATTTCTACCAGTTTTCCTTAACTTCTCAATGTCTCCCCCATTTTCTTCCTGCTTCCCAAAGAACTACACATCTTGGGATATGTAACAGATAAAACGTGTGTAAGAATGCACGCAGGCTGGTCATAATGGCTCACGCTTGTCACCCCAGCACTTTGGGAGGCCAAGGCAGGAGGATCATTTGAGCCCAGGAGTTTGAGACCAGCCTGAGCAACATGGTGAAACCCCATCTCCACAAAAAACATGAAAAATCAGCCAGGCATTGCAGCACACACCTGTACTCCAAGATACTCAGGAGGCTGAAGTGGGAGGATCACCTGAGCTACAGAGGGTGAGGCTGCAATGGGCTGTGATCACACCACTGCACTCCAGTCTGGGTATGGAGTGAGACCGTGTCTCAAAAAACAAGCCAGAAAGAATGCATGCAATCAAAACCACAATGAGATATCACTTAGTATCTATCAGTATGGCTACTGTCAAAAATAAAAAATTTTTTTAAATGAGGCTGGGCGCACTGGCTTACACCTATAACCCCAGCACTTTAGGAGGCTGAGGCAGGCAGATCACCTGAGGTCGGGAGTTTGAGACCAGCCCGACCAACATGGAGAAACCCCGTCTCCACTAAAAATACAAAATTAGCCAGGCGAGGTGGTGCATGCCTGTAATACCAGCTACTCGAGAGGCTGAGGCAGGAGAATTGCTTGAACCTGGGAGGTGGAGGCTGCAGTGAGCCGAGATTATGCCATTGCACTCCAGCCTGGGCAATAAGAGTTAAACTCTGTCTCAAAAAACAAACAAACAACAACAACAACAAACAGAATATAGGCCGGCAGAGTGGCTCACACCTGTAATCCCAGCACTTTAGGAGGCCAAGACAGGTGGAGGACCACCTGAGCCTAGGGAGGTTGGGGCTGCAGTAAGCCATGATTGCACCACTGCACCCCAGCCTGGGCAACACAGTGAGACACTGTCTCAAAAGAAAAAAAAAAAGTTAATCATCCCAATTATATTTTGCTCTGGCCTTTTTCATAGTTCTAGGAGTAGAAGGTTCCAATGAGGCCAGGTACCGTGGCCCACACCTGTAATCCCAGCACTCTGGGAGGCCAAGGTGGGCAAGGTCACTTGAGGTTAGGAGTTTGAGATCAACATGGTGAAACCCCGTCTCTACTAAAAATACCAAAAAAAATCAGCCAGGTGTGGTGGTGCATGTCTGTAATCCCAGCTGCTAGGGAGGCTAAGGCAGGAGAATTGCTTGAACTGGGGAGGCAGAAACCGAATGAGCCGAGATCACACCACTGCACTCCAGCCTAGGTGACAAAGTGAGACTTGGCATCTCAACAGAAAAACCCACACAACAACGAAAAAGGTTCCAATGAGCTGAACAAACTTTGGCAGAGAAATCTGCTTAAATGTGGATGAAATTTGCTTAAACGTGGATGAACTGGCTTTAGTCCCAAGAAAAAGGTCAATTTTCCCTCATATTGATGTTTGAATCAACTCTAAATTGTATTACGTCTGTATTTATTATCACTTTTACACATTTTATGGACTCTAATTTTTCATATTCATGTTGTCTTTGATATTCATGTAGTGAATTAATTTTAGGCAAACCATTCACATTGCCGATAAATTCATCAGTGAAACACTCACCTGAGCTGAGTACAATTCTCATTAATCCCGACCTCTAACAGGCATCCAGAGAGGACATCTTCTCCAAATAAAATGGGTTTGAAAGTTGCTGATGTACACAAACCCCTTCCAGCTATAAAAGAAAAAGATTATCCTCTTGCTACTTTTTGCTAAATAAAAGTAAAGATTAACTTCAAAGTTTTTCGTGAAAAACAGAAAACAGTAAGTAGAAATAAAGTTCATAGTTTTCAAAAACTGAGATCACTGTTAGTCTAATCCTTTCAAAGCTGAATGAAGGTGCCTTTCTGTATCAGAATTCCCAGACCCTGAGCGGTGGTTTCTTCAGAATGTGACACTGCCCCTGGCAGATGTGGGTCATTACCGCTGAGGCACAGATTTCCTGCAGTTCAGAATGAAGTTATTTTCATGTCTCTAATTAGCACCATCCTGGGCTACAGACAACAATAACACGGGACTCTCAAGCCAATCTCATATTTCAATCTCTTTTACTAGCAACCAGCACTTCAGGTGCAAACAATGTTAGCTGTAGAAGCGGCCGGGCACGGTGGCACACGCCTGTAATCCCAGCACTTTGGAAGGCTAATGCGGGCAGATCACGAGGTCAGGAGATCGAGACCATCCTGGCTTACACGGTGAAACCCTGTCTCTACTAAAAATACAAAACATTAGCCAGGCATGGTGGCGGGTGCCTGTAGTCCCAGCTACTCGGGAGGCTGAGGCAGGAGAATGGCGTGAACCTGGGAGGCGGAGCTTGCGGTGAGCCAAGATCGCGCCACTGTACTCCAGCCTGGGGAACAGAGCAAGACTCAGTCTCAAAAAAAAAAAAAAAGAAAAAAAAACAAAGCTGTAGAAGCATGAAAAACCACTACCACTGTTACTCAGCAGCATGTACCTCTCTGCTAAATAAACCAACCGGGCTTTAAAATAATTGATTGCTTGATTAGATTCAAAATATGGTAATACTTCTAACATCAGTTTGCCAAAGAGCTAATGATAATGACCAAACCGGATTACCCGACTGCCAAAGATATAAAGTCGTGACATTATTCATCCTGTTGGTATTTAGAGCTCGGACAGGCTTGCCAAGTTGGTAACCTAGACAAACACAACAAAGGAGCGTGAGCCTGTTTCCTCCTATACTTCAGCACAGCAAGCCTAACTCAGCAAATAACACAACAGACATGCACAAGGAAAGAAAATACATAGGCGAAGCTTTCAAAAATACCTTTGGGAGAAAGATGGCACACCTTCATTCATTGTTTTTGTTTTTGTTTTGTTTTGAGACAGAGTCTGGCTCTGCCGCCCAGGCTGGAGTGCAATGGCATACTCTCGGCTCACTGCAACCTTCACCTCCTGGGTTCAAGCGATTCTCCCGCCTCAGCCTTCCAAGTAGCTGGGCACCCACCATCATGCCCAGCTAATTTTTGTATTTTTGTAGAGACGGAGTTTCAGCATGTCGGCCAGGCTGGTTTCGAACTCCTGACCTCAGGTGATCCGCCCACCTCAGCCTCCCAAAGAGCTCGGATTACGGATGTGAGCCACCGTGCCCGGGTGCTTTTTTTTTTTTTTTAACAGACAAGGACATTCATTCAATTTAAAAAATACATTTTAACAATAAAACCTGAAAAGTAAATTGCAGGCATGAGTCAGTCTTGGACCTCTCATGCAAGAGACACTGAAGGTTCTGATCAAGCCAGTCACGGATCACTTGCTGAATGACAATACTGCTTATCACGGGGGCTCATAAAAGACATGTAAACCAAAGTAATCTTTCTTTCTTTTTTTTTTT